TACCGTATAAAAACTTAATATCTAAAATTTTATATATAATTCTATTTTACTTAGAAATTTAAATAGATGCACAGCCATAACGGTTTAGTATTTTAGGACCAAATTTTGTAAAAACTAATATTATAATGTTACAAAGTTATGAAGTTATTTTTCTCATTTAAATGCATCCATTTAAATTTCGCGAAAAATAAAATATAATAACACATATTTTACATAGTATATCACGCACCCCAATGTCAAGATGGTGGTTGAATGGTACCATTCGACATGTCGAATTTTTTGAATTGCAAAAGCGCGTTACTCGGAAATCACGTAATTTTGTGTAACAGACAAAGTTTCCAATTTCACGTGACCATAAAATCGTCAAATAGATACAGTAATACGCATACTTTGAATGTATTTTTTTTTAAAAAAAATGTCACCACTTTCTATTTTTTCTATTTTTTCTACCTCTTCTAATTGCTTATTTAGTCATATAAAATCTTGCATCTTATCTTTTAATTCTGCAAAAAAACTTTCAATATCTCCAAAAAAAAAAAATGATGAATCTTGTTAATGGTTGGTTCTCTGTGATAATGTTTCTGAATAAATAAAATAATTTTTTTTTAAAAAAAATAGATATCATGACCGTTACATTAGGAATTAGGTAATTCTATCACTATTTTTCAATAATTTTATTTCTTGTTTCACTATTATAATAAATCTTATTTATTATTACCAGAGCCGCGCACCTTATCGATTTTGCATTCTTAACACTAGAAGAATCTAAAATTCTTTTATCTTCTTTTCAAAAAGTAATTCATATTATACATCTGCAAAATAATGATGGTTCTTAGTCCTGGCCAATTTTTAAGACTACTCTGAATTTTGTGATGCTGTAATATTAAAGGTCTGTCTGATAAGTAGCAAATTTTGATCAAAACAAAATTACCGTAAACCACGAAATAACGGCCATGATGAGTATTGTTTCAAACTCGAATTCTTTAAAAATAGCATGCTTAATTTTAAAATAACATCCATGGACGCCTTTAAATAACATGCGCCTCATAATATTTCGATAGATTTATGATACAATAATTAAGCTTTGAAAACTTGCTTTTATCTTGAAGTAACGCATAATTCGTAGGTGCTCATGATGTACGTTATTCACGGTTTTACGGTATTAGGTTTTGAATTATCTTTAATCATCTTGTTCAATACTGGTCTTAGCAAGAGTTCAATCTTTTAATGGTTTACTCGACATTATTATTGCTTCTCAAAATTCAAAGGTGCCCAAGGCCAAAAGACGAAAGTTCATCTCTCTTATCAATAATTGAATGTCTCGACTTATAAAAATTTTTTTCCCCACAAATTAACAGAATAAAAGCTTATTTAATCTATGCATTTTGCAATTCTCTGATACTCACACGTTTATTTGTAATCGTAAGTTATTACTTACGAAACTTGAAAATGATTTAATCAATAAGTTTAAAGGCAGTGTGTTTATTGATGTCTCATGGAATTGCAAAGAAAGTGGCTGTAGGGAGCCAAAAATGGTACGTCATATATTAGATCTTAGTCTATACAATTGTCATGATAACTATTAAAGAGTATAATTTATAAACTTTGCGCTTAGATTAACACTCCACCTTCATTTAAGAAATTTTTGGAAACACATGTTAGACCTTTTTTCTTAGAATGGTCGGACATTCATTCATCATCTTTAACGACGAAATCGTCAGTTCTCTTTGTTCCTACGACTCCAACTTGTATAGTAACATTCGCCGGCTGGATACTCGAATATCCCGCGGTTTATGTCCTTGATTCCACTCTTGATAGTGAAATTGATATTTTCGATGCACGAACGATGAAAAATTGTCTCGGAAGTCAAAACCTGAAATTGTATCGTGCATTCCTGGAGAATATTGATGCTAACAATAGTAATGGTAGCATGTGTGATGAACCACCTGGGTACTTATCTGTAACTTATTTCGAACGATTTACTATGTTTATATAACCATATCTATTTATTTATTTAAATAGACACACATTATTAAGCTTTAGCATTCCTTCCAATATCTGGCACAATCTCCAACAGGAAAATGATCAAGTTGGACAAAATAATGATAAGATAACTGTAATTTTAAAAAACATTTTCGACCCGAGAATTAAAAATCAAACAGATTGGAATTTAGGATTTAGGGTTGAAATTAATGATATTTGTTTGCCTGTTGTTGCTTTGTAATATTTGTACACAAACTGGTCATATTTTTTTTTTAAAGTGATCTCTTTGTCAGTAACTTTATTAACATCTTATAGTAGTGTTACATCGCCCAAATCATTGTTTTTTTTTTTTTAATATTAATAGTGAGCCCCAAATTATTGTAGTACGTGTATAATGTTACATAACTTAAAACTACTTTATTCTTGAAATATACTTTACTTAGTAGGGTTTACCTTATTTAGAATTTAAAAAAAAAGTTAATAAAAAAGAAACAAATCATTTTAGTAAAGTTTTTTAATTTTTAAATTAAAATATCTCAATAACTATCTAATAAAATTTGATAAATTTTTTATTTTATTCTTTTTTATATAAAATTAAAATAAACAAATTAATTAAATTTGAGCTTAAAATTAAAAAACTTATATTTAGATAAATTTGTCTTTTTTTTATTAACTTACCCCACCTATTCAGAATTTACATATTAGACTATTTTTATTAGTATTTTGTATATATTTTTGCTTTATATTACTGATATAAACTACAATTATATTTGAGTACTGCCAAATGAAAACCCAGAAATCTAAAAATAGATTACTTATAAATTTTATAAATGATCTATTTTGAGATTTTTGGGTTTTTATTTGGCAATACTTATTTTCAAATAGATATTATAACTAAGACCTTATTCTTTAAATCACATTTCAGACAAATTTGTCTAAAAATTAAATTATATTTTTTAAATAAAATAATAATTTTTTTTTTTTTTTTTTTGGTGTTAAGTTGGACTCTTGGCCGGCTTCTTTTTTTCTGTTTTATTTGT